AAAAAAAAATACTTTCTACAAGCAAATAATTAAACAATATAAAACCAATAAAAGAAACCACAGAACCAATAGAAGAAATTACCTGAAAAACAGAATAAGAGTCAGGATAATCCAAAATCTTACGAGGTATACCCTGTATACCAGCTAAATGTATAGGAAAAAAAGTCAAATTTGTACCAATAAAAAAACAAAAAAAAACAGCTATTATTATATTTTTATCAAAAACACACCCCCTCATGTAAGGAAACCACAAAGAAAAACCACTAAAAATAGCAAAAATAGCACCTAAACTCAAAGTATAATGAAAATGTGCCACTACATAATATGTATCATGTAAAACAATATCTAACCTAGCAGTACTCAAAATAATACCACTCAAACCACCAATAGTAAACAAAAAAATAAAACTATATGTCCAACATCACACAGGTTGTAAATATTGACGAGAACCAAATAAAGTCCCAAGTCAATTAAAAACCTTAACTGCCCTAGGAATAGCAATAATAACAGTAGCTGCCCTAAAATAAGTTCGAGTATCAATATCAAGACCTGCAGTATATATATGATGGCCCCAAACAGACGTGCCTAAAACAGAAATTCAAATAGAAGCATAAACCATACTTGCTTGACCAAATAATCGTTCCTTATCAGTTAGATATAAAACACATTCCCTAATAATACCAAATGCAGGTAAAATAATAATATAAACCTCAGGATGGCCAAAAAATCAAAACAAATGTTGATATAATAAAGGATTACCCCCTATTTTAGTATCATAAAAAGAAGCATTAAAATTACGATCTAACAACAAAAACAATAAAGAACCAGCTAATACAGGAACAGATAACACCAACAACAAAGAAGTTAAATAAGAAGTTCAAACAAATATTCTTATCTGATCCAAAGTAACAGCAGCCGACCGTATATTTTGAGTAGTTACCATAAAATTAATAGCACCCAATAAAGATCCAATACCTACCGTATGTAAACCCAAAATTATAGTATCTATAGCCATTTCAGGCTGACCCTCAACTCTTAAAGGAGGATATAAAGTTCAACTACCACCAGGACCACCACCCACAAAAAAAGAAAAATATACTATAAACAAAGCAGAAAAAGTAAACCAAAAAGACAAAGCATTAACACGAGGAAAAGCTATCTCAGGAGCCCCTAATATCACAGGTAGCATTCAATTACCAAAACCACCAATTAAAATAGGTATAACTATAAAAAAAATCATCAAAATACCATGTATAGTTAAAATAGAATTATAAATTTGACCAGAACCGCTTAATAAAAAACCCCCAGGACAAGATAATTCAACACGCATAAAAACAGAAAAAATAGATCCACCTAAACCAGCTCAATACCCTAAAATAATATAATTAGTACCAATAGACTTATGATTAACAGTATTAAAAATATTTTGCTTAAAAGAATTATGCTTATATAACAATCCACAAAAAATATTCATATTAAATAACAAAACCAAACCAAAAAAAATTATATATCATAAAAATTAAAGGCAAACAAAAAACAAATCGACCCTCAAAAACCTCTACACCACCTTTACCTAACAAAAAACACACCATAATATAGACAGAATAAAAAAAAGAAATTATATAATAAAAAAACAAAAAAATAAAACCAAAAAAACAAATAGAACTAAAAAAATTTAACATCACATACTCAGAAAAAAAAGAAATAGCACTAGGAAAACTAAAATTAGACATCATAACCAAACAAAAAAACAAACTAAACAATAAATTACAATTAAAAAAACCACGAAAATAATAAATAAGGCGTCTACCAGAAACATGAAAAAACTCACCAATAAAATAAAACATTAAAACCGAAGTATACCCGTGTGCCAACATTATAACTAAAGCCATACTTTTACCATAGTAAACCATACACATTTCAGACAATAAAACAAAACCCATATGACAAATAGAAGAATAAGCAGCTAAAGACTTAGAATCACTCTGTAATATACAAATGAAAGAACAAAAAACCATTCTAAAAAAAGACAAAAACAACCAAACCTCCAAACCAAAAAAACCTCTTCCCATTATTATCCGATATATTCCTACACCCCCCAATTTTAATATAACACCAGCCAAAACTATACTAGTACTAGTA